CATTTTGCTGTGAGACAAAACTGCACATTCCAGGGTGGCCTTTTGTTGTGGGCAGTCTGAGGTACACCTGTGCACTACTCATGATGTCAGATCAGCATCCTGATGTGGCACACCTGTGAGGTGGGATGGATTATCTCAATATAGCAGATGTGCCCACTACCACACATTTGGACTGATTTGTGACCACTGTTTGGGAGGGATGGTTATATTGTGTATCTGGGATGAATTTTAGGTCTCTACGTCCATCCTATGGGGAATGGGAGCAAAAACAAAAGTGTTGCGTTTATATTTTTGTTCAGTGTATATATATGTGTGTATATATAATCACTGACTTTCAGCTTGTTGTGTTTGTGGATATATGACTGACTTTAATTATTACACATTCGCACATAAATAAGTGACGTCATATTCAGTACTTTTGACAGTTCACTCTTCGGCCGCTCCATCTTATTAGGGAAAGTCCATATACATAAATGTAAATTTCAAAACTCAACCCCATCATTTAATTTGTTTTTGATTGAAATTGAATATTACTTTAACTCTCTTAAATTAACTTCCAATAAAAAAGGTTTGTCATTGATTGAAATTCATTCAGAAATGTTTAATGAATGAGCTGTCACAACTTTCAAATACAAAGTTGTTATGAAGTCTGTCACATTCCCCCCTTTCTTCTTTTTTTATCCTTTATTTATTTATCCTTCTTATTTCATTGTACTGTATATTGTTACTCTTATTTGCCGTGTATGTCTACTGTACAAACTGAACTGGAATGACTGACTGTTCGCTTTATGGTTTCAATAAAGTTTGGGGGAAAAAAACAACCTCTTCAGCCGCTCCCGTCTGCCGTATTTTGCGGCAAAATTATCCACACCCACCGCCGCGTTATGAATTGTGGGATATATGGGACCACGAAGCGTGCACCGGACCATGCTTGATATTTGGGGAAATCGACGGCGCATTTGGAGCATGCATTTGAAGCACTTAAAATGCGTACTTCAAGCGTGCAGTCTCTTAATTGGGACACAGCCAACATGTCCTGAAGTTCTCCAGAGGCCTGGTAATGAACTAATCCTTTGATTCAGGTGTGTTGACACAGGGTGAGATCTAAAACCTGCAGGACACTGGCCCTCGAGGCCTAGAGTTGCCCACCCCTGCTATAGATTAAGAATGAAATGTCTTTCAAGCTCATTTGTCCCTAAGCAGGTCCAGGATTTGCGGGTCTGTACAGGAAAAGCAGTTCTAGTATATTTTTGAAACCAAGACATGAAGAACTTGAAAGGTTCATGACATGAAAGGTTCTAAAATGTTAAAATCAATTCCTCAAAGTTTTTTTTGTTTGCTGAAAAAAGAGAAAAAAACATTTGGAACAGATTTACAGCAAATATCATGACATCACAATAAACAATTAAAAATCAAATATGGATTATTTACATTTCAATCAATGCAGCACACAGTACATGAGGAGGGTGTACAGCGACCTCTGCTGGTATAATAAATGTATGCTGCAGAGCAATGTGAAGAAACATTATAAGAATATACTTGTGTGTATTGTGATGCATGTCCCTGTCAGAGGTTTTCACTGGTAAGAGACAAAGGTAAAAAAGAAGACAAGCACCAGTCCCAGGTTTGAGCAGTTCTGTATTAGAGGAGAGGAAATAAGCAGACACTAGAGCTTGGAGGATGATTGACCTGGGTCAGTCGTCACATTGCTTGTTACTGCCACATTAGAGAGTACTGTGTAATTCTGTGATATCACATATTTGCCCTAACAGTCTGTCTGGTAGAAACAAGAGTAGGGGAAGAAAAATGAATCTTAAACTCAAGAGATAACAAATGCAACCAAAACACCTCTGTGTGAGCGCACTGTAACACTATGACACCAACAACACGGGATCGTTAAACCTGTTTTCTTTCTATCCTGTAGGTGAACACAAAGCCAGAAATTAATACTATACATTACTGTTACTACTGATAGTTATTTTTAGGTGTGCTGTGATACAATTTGGGGGCACTTCAGCACCCAAAGAAGGGTCTAAACTAGGGGTGGGTTTTTAAAATCGATTCATCGATTAAAATCGATTCTGGCTTGGATAACGTAAAATCGATTCATTAAAATCCTGAATCGATTTTTTTAATATAAATTTATTTTACCCGAAATGCCAGAATCTCTGGTGAAACCTCACAAAATTTCAAGAACCACCAAACAGTTAAGACAGTAAATGAGAGCAGGTACACGGATTCTGCACATAGACTTAAACACAGCGCGACCCGAATTCGATCAGAATCAGTTAGCTGTCGCCTTTCTCACGGTCGGGGCTGAAAGCCGACAGCTCGCTGATTCTGATCTGTCGGCGGGTCCGCGCTTTGTGTTCACGCCCTTTATGCGCTGATTCTAAAGCTGTTAGTTTGATCTCTCTCCAAACAATATTGAATAAACATCGTCATGAATTCACTCTGACTTTTACTGTTTTGCTTCCACCACGATGCACAGCTCTCTCTCTCTCTCCCTCCCCCTCTCTCTCTTTCTCTCTCTCTCTCCCTCTCTCTCTCTCTCTCTCTCTCTCTGTACTTCAAGAACAGTTTCCCTTTCTTCATTATTCGCTTACTTGTTATGCACAAGTCTACTGTTGTTTACAGCGCTGTCAGCCACTGTTTTTTTCCCTTTTACATTCTTCCGAAAAGAAAACCTCATTTCTGCTGTTCAATACTGAACAAATTTAAACTTTTTAAAATTATTCAAAATGCAAAACGCTTAGCCGTGTGTCTAATAAAACCGCTGTAACTTCAGAGGTAATGTTCATATGTTGATTAATGGTTTTCTTTCGTTTTTGATGTACTGCAGAATATTTTTATAAAATCCCAGGCCAGGAAAATCTCCTTCATGTTTTTCTGTGTTTTATCTTCAGCTACTTTGACACAAAGGCCTCTGCTGTGACGCTTACACCTGTGATAAAGTCTTGCGTGTGTCAGCTTCCTTTTTATTGATACAAAAATATGTAAATGTACTGATCTGAATTATAATATTTCTGACTGTCAAAATTTCCCAGATTTAAATCGAATCGAATCGAATTAAATCGAATCGTGGATCGAATCGATTCGGGACCTTGTGAATCGGAATTGAATCGATTCTAGAAATCAGTGACGATACCCAGGCCTAGTCTAAACTGGCCTATGCAGGACACCGACACTGTGGGGTAGAGTTGGGTTGGATGCCACATTAGAGGACACTGTTGACCTGACAGTCTGTCTGTGTTTTCGAGTGGTCAGTTTGTGGAAAACACAAAAGTTTGAGGAGAGAAAGTACTTTGTACTTTTTATGGGTCAGGGTCTTTTTTCACCTTGTTGTTGTTATATTAAAAGATAACACAATATTAGTCTCTTTTTTTAAGGGCAGTTATTAAAAGCTAAAGCCATATGTTAGCTAGGTTCAAATGTTTATCAAGAGGGCATGGGGAAAGGCAGTGGGTTTTTGTTTCTTTATGTCTTGGCACAATAATTTGTGTTAAACCATAAACAAACAGCCAGCAGAAGGAAGAATGGCTTAGATGTGTTGTCTGCCAAAACTGATCTCACAGAGATTGTACTCCTGGAAATCCAGGGTCAGAACTGACTTGTGTGACTTTGAGTGAGTTACTGTATAGAGTTACTGGATCAAGACTAGCAACCTTTAAATAGAGAACATAAGACGTTCCTTACCTGGATGATTGAGCATCAAGATTTTAAAATGGAGAGTAGTTCAGTTTAATATTGACGTGTTTCATTTTTATTCTCAATCTTGCAAAAAAGATGTTGGGAACCTCTTTCCTTTAAAATGATATCAATGACACATCAGTTAGAAATACAAAAGATACAGCCATGAAATTTGGAATCTGTCCACAGTTGGGTTTTTTGGCTTTAACAATAGCTATATAGTACTGTAAATTCATTCCTTTCACTGCTTGTATGTAAAATATTTCATAATATTTAGCACTGCTTCAAATTCATGGGGGCATTAGGTGGTGTTCATTTTTAAACTTATTGACATCTCTATCTGAAAAACATACATAAATAATTTAATAATTTTTTTATGGTCAAAATTTAAACAACACCCCAATTTTTCCAGTTTTTCTTTTATTGAAAATTATGAAGTTTGATGTCTCATTGCACTCTGAAATGAAAGGATAGTACAAATAAAGAATTGGAGTTGTCCTGTGAGCCGCCTATCACTCAAGCTATTAACTCTCAGAAACTTACAATACAATGTATCAGACTGTTGTTGACGGTAATGGCTTTTAGTTCCAATTAAATGCAAAAATGAAAACATTTCCCATTTGGAGGCAGCACCTTAAGCTCTGATTTAATGAAGAAATGATTATTGAAAGACTTATCAATTATTAGCAATTCATGCGTAGATAGTGTAACAAGAGGTCTACCCTACATACATGTGCTGTGAGTGATACTAAACCTAAAAATAACTCTTGGTTGATTTCTAATAAAACTTTGCAGCCGAACTTTTTCATGGTTAATTATACAGTTAACTATGAATCTTTAATTATCCATTTACACTTGTGTGAAACTTTTCCCAGCATTACCAGCAATACATTATCCTGAAATTGGACTTTGAGGATCCAAAAGAGGCCACAGGGAGTCTTTAAATACCGGACAGAGCAAAAATAAATATTATTGCGAAACTTGAGGCCACTCATTTCTCTTTATGCAGAGAATAGCCTATTATTTTATAGCTGTAACTTTATTGTTTGCTGAGTTTAAAGCTTTCTTGATTTCCTTTAAATGTGTATTATTATTTTTATATTCCTTTAAAATTGTTATTTTCTATAAAGAGCTTTGTTACTGCTGTCAAATAATGTTGCTAGCTTACAGTACAGTGCAGTAATGCCGTTGAGCTGTTTCTCGGTCGTCTTATGAGAATCAAATTATTAACATGTCGCCACGTGTTTGAGTGAACGCTCAAAGTGTCATGTATGTGACGAGCAGTGGAGAAATCCACTCTTTCCTGTGCTGGCTCACGGAGGAGGGCATGATGCGCCGCTAGGTGTCCGCTGAGTTCAAACTGCTGGTGACGCAACGCTCATCGCAAAGCAGAGCAAGAGGCGACAGCTACCGCACCTTCGACCAAGGTAAGCGAACAAAGAGTAACTCTAAAAACGTGGAATTAAACGACGACAAGTTGCTGTAGTAGCTGCTTTCTTTTTTTCGCTGCCTTGTGAAACAAGTAACGAATATGTTTTTTTGTTCCTTATTGTACTTGTGACAAACGACTGGGGCGCTTTGAGCAGATAAGTAGCTAACGTTAACTAGCTAACTTTCACTTAGCTGTTTGGTTTGGAGAACTTCAAGTCAAGTTGTAAAGCAGTGGATACGAAGGCCGGTGTTTTCTGGTCAAGGCTTTAAAAAAATAAAGACGCATACATTCAAAGCTGAGGCGAAACATTTCCTCGAAAAAGGGCCGTTTTATTTTGAAGGAAGTATTGGGTATCGCTTATGTTTTCCCTCGCTGACTTTACGCTGGCAGGAACTTTAATAGCAAACTAGCTAGCTAACTAATGATAGCAAGTTAGTGTAGTAGAGTGAGATTAATGAAACTTTGTAAATTTAAAGTTCTAAACTTCAAGAGAATGAGGAAGGATCGTGAGTGTTGGCTTAAGTCATTCTCTATCCGTAATACTTTACTCTTTCGGCACTGCGTGCATCCGGAACTACGTGTTGTTGGCTCCTGTCGGGTTTAAATGCTATTTCTTGACCGTCGCGTTTTATTTATTTCCTCTTTTAATGCACTTGTTTATCTGAGATCATAAAACTTTGAGCAGATGCAACTTGCGGAAAAAGGCAGACGGTGTGGACTTCAGTGAAACGTCATAAACGTCTGACAAAACATGACATAGCCCCCCCCCCTGTTTTTCTCTAATTGTGTTACGTGGTGCATAATTTCATAGAATTTGTTTACTACACATAAAAAATAATTTACTCTCCCACGCACCAAATGTAACTAAAGTTACTAATGTTAGCTGTACAGGCTGCAGGGGATCATGACATTGTCAGTCTACCATTATAAACTTGGTGAGATAATACTTGTGGTTCTTAGGGATTAGTGGTGGTTTGGAGGTTGGAGATGTGCTGATTTCCCACAGTGGAAGCCTGTGTGCTTTCCTAACAAATTGTTAAACAGTCCAATGTATAAGTTCCTTCTTTATACATATTTGAATCCTTTGTCACAAACTATGTAACAGTATAGTGTACAATTCATCAAGTAATTCAATTGTAAAAGGTTTTGCTTCAATGATGTGCCACTCTGTAGCATGAGTGCTTCACCCACATGTGCGACTAAAAACTGACCTGCAACAGTATTTAGGGGCAGCGTGTGAATAAAAAGAATAACAACATTATGCCCACACAGCCCCCAGTTATAAACAAAAACACTGATAACATAGTGAATATGATGTTGTCACATGGAGCGTGCACACCACTAAGAGCAAAGAGGCTGAGCTGTTACTGAGACGCTGAGTGAGAAACATGTTTCCAGCATCCAAAACAGCAGCACTGGTCCTGTAATCATCAGGGATGGGGAAGAAGTAAGCAGTTTCTACTCCATTATAGATATCACTTATCAATTCTCATTGGCTCCACTTTGAGTCACCACCATCTCTAAGCAGCATATCAAAGTCATCATATTCATGCAAATGAATTGCATGTTTGTGCATGTTGGAGGTGTTGCCACTCTTTGTTGTGATCAGTGTTCCTGTCATTACTCAAATAAGTAATTAATGCACATATTACACAGAACACTTTCCTTGAAGGTAATGCAGTAGGTTACTTGATTACACCTAGGATTTGTTACATTACTTTCATGTTGAATGATCTGAAATACTGTCTCATAATGACCAATTAACAATATAGACCCGAGGCTACAACCAACACAAATCCCTGTCCTAATGAGGACACACCTGAGCTTTCTCAGAGCATTTAGGTATGAAAACAGAGCTGATGACACAAATCAAATATAAGACACTTTAAAGTGATCCACAGAGATTCTACTGTAGGAACATGAACAGGTAGAACGGAAGCTGCAGCCTGGCTGTTCATCAGTTTGTTACCTGTTGATGTTCAGCTGTGGCTCACTTTATCACGGTGCTGGTCTGGGGTCAGCATTTACTCAGCTTTAACATCACTGTGGGCTCTCGGCTTAGCGTTAGCATGCTTGCTGTGCAGGTGCTTTCAAAGAGCCAAAGTTGTGTTAACAGTATGAGGCATTTGTATCTGTCCTCCACTTTACCATTGCGCTCTCATCCTTTTGTGCAATAAAGCTAATGTCCATATCCAAACTGAAATCAGCTGATCGTAGTGAGAGTGCAAGAATCAACAGGCAGGCAGACTAACGATTCGATATATTATTGTGTCATGAATGTTAGCCATCTGCCTCCAGATGACACATTGTTGTTGAGAAACACCATGAATCTGTAAATGTAGGCGTAATCTTTTTGTTAACAATATTAGAATTAGATTGCGGATACAAATTGGCTTTGTCCAAAAGGTGGATGAGCTCTCCCTCAGATAAAGAGTTCAGTCATTTGGGAGGGATTCAGAGTAGACCCACTACTCCTCCACATTGAAAGGACACGGCTAAAGCTGTGTCCTCCTCGGTAAAGTGTTTAGACCAAGCATGTCCTACTTGGAGGAGGCCGCAGCGTAGACCTGGGACACACTGGGAAGCTTATATCGATTGGCTGGCCTGGGAACTCTTCAATGTTTCTCCGGATAAGTTGGAGGAGGTGGCAGAGGGAGATTTGGGCTTCCCTGCTGCCCTGCAACCCGACATCAGATAAGCGGATGATTTATTATTTTGTTATTTTAGATTTAAACTTTTAATTCAGTGGCTGTCATGAACATTCAAACAGTGTGCACAGCACTAAGCACCACACTACACAGTTCATTCGTTTTTCGGATGTCATATTTTAGTAATGCGTGAACGCGTTCTGTGTTTTCATGTCATGTTAAACGTCGATTTGTTTTCATCATTTTTCTTCTGCGTTGTCGGTCTGCAGTAAGTGTGCAGTGTTGGCAAGGCGTGATGTGAGGTGCTGTGCATTTAAGCAGCATGATTCATTATTGAAGAATGTGATTCATGGTGTCAGGTGCCTTTGTTAGTTTGACACTTTCCATTACTTACGTATCAAATTCAACCTAATACCTGTGTGTTTCTTGGTTTTTAGACTAGTCAAAAAAAATTTTCCTCGTGTAGTAGACTAAGAGATCTGAGGAAACGTTGAACATCCCTAATTAATAAATTAATAAATAAATAAGCAGTATATGCAATAATTTTACATCTTTAGAGTCTTCTTCCTTGCAGAAGAGCAAAGTGTGAACTGGAGTCAGGTTCCTTGTCCGTGTGCACAAACTTGGCTAAATAACGACAATCCTGATTCTAATAATACGTGCAGAAAGAAACAAAAAGGCGATAGTCTAAGGAAATACTGGAGGCAAGCTGATTGTGCTGACATTTGTTTGCTGAGGAAAGTTGTGACAGTGGCGAGATTTGTGACATTTAATGTGTTTGGAGTGTGTAGTTGGTGTGCAGTCTAGTTGTTTCTTTTGTTTCCCAAAAACTCACAAGGCATTGTCAGCATTTTAATGCATTTTAATATAAATGGTTGTATATAACTGCTGCATGACATTTGAATATGACAGTTTTATATTTGGATTTCAGGTCATAACAGTGATTCATGAAACATGTTAGCTGCATTTTTTTTTTTTTTTTTTAGGTCCAGTGTGTCACAAACTGACCTATGAATCATTCAATCATAAACAAAAGGGATGAACCAGTGTTTCATCTACACATACCAAACAACTTGAATGCAATTTTAAATTGTGTGGCTCTTTTTTTTTTTTTTTTTTTTTCACTAGCAGCCTATGTCACAAATGTATGATTTATTTTCTTCTTTAGCTGTACGTCAGCCATAACAGTTTGGCAGGAATGAAATAGTATTTTTGATTGACTTTTGATTCTGAAAAACTCACAATCTCAGCGAGGTTTGCAGATTTTCCTTAAAAATTTGAGGAAACTTGATAAGACACACAAAAAAAACCCCAGTATGACAAAACTGTCTACAGATGAACATTATCTAAAAGACCTACCAAAGCCCTAACATAGCACCTGCGAGATGCACAGGCATGAATGAAAGAGTAGGCTGTCAAGTAGCCATTCTCAAGTAAACATGGAGAAAAGGCTGAGCTGTGCCAAATTACACAAAAACTAGACTAAAAATCAGTGGCAACAAGTCTGATTGTACAATGAATCTAAAGAAATAGTTGTTCAGAGTGTCTAAAGCGAACTGTAAACACGGTGGAGTGTCTGTCATGGTTTGAGGCTCCATTTCAGCGGTGTTCAGGATTTTGGGATTTTTTGGAATACTTTACCCAGGAGGCGACCTCCTCGACTGCCTCCTGTCTCCTTAGAGTAGCAGCTCTATTCTGAGCCACAATACGAAGTTAGTCATTAATATACTACAACAACATGGGAATAGAGCAGCTGTGATAGAATACAGCATTAACGAATCAATGGTACAGAAGTGGAGGAAGCAAGAAGAATGAATTGAATAAAGTTTGATTTATCTGACTGCTTTGTTTCGCTTAATGTGCCTTATAACCCCGTGCACCTTATAGTCCGAAAAATACTAGGGCTGCCATGATTAGTCGACTAGTCACGATTATGTCGATTATCAAAATCGCAGACGACTGATTTAATAGTCGACGCGTCGTTTGAAGCTTTGTAAGGTCACAAAAGACGCAGGAATAAGTAGTGGGATTTAAGAGTGTAATAACGGACTGAAACAGAAGATGGCAGCACTGCGTGTACAAGGATGCCAGCTGCCGTTAAACCCAGAAGAAGAAGAAGAAGCTGTGTCCCAGAATTTATAGCGCAGCCCAGCTCAGTTTCCAACAATGGCGGCAGCTAGTTAGTTTTAATATTACTCTTATTATTCTTTCTGGGTCACAAAATAAACGTTTAACATATTTTCAGTCGAGAATGTAGCTGTGTAAACCTCAAATATCTGCTCAGTTTATCAAGAACACATATTTTCAAAAGCGCTCAGATGTTTTCGGAGACATCTGTTACCCACTAGCTCGATAGCTCGCCGGGGGCAAGGCTCACTAGAGCCGGTGAGAACACCGGACTCCCGGCAAATAGTTTTCAAACCCACCGCCATCTTTCGCTACTCAGGTTAAACATATATAAGTCACTTAGATAACTTAAACCTGGCTGTAGCTCAGGTGGCAGAGCAGGTCAGCCACTAATCAGAAGGTCGGTGGTTCAATCCCAGGCTGCATCCTGGCTGCATGCCAAATATCCTTGGGCAAGATACTAACCCCATGTTTGCCTACTGGTGGTGGTCAGAGGGCCCGGTGGCGCCTGTGTCCGGCAGCCTCGCCTCTGTCAGTGCGCCCCAGGGCAGCTGTGGCTACAATGTAGCTTGCTATCGCCAGTGTGTGAATGTGTGTGTGAATGGGTGAATGACTGAATAGTGTAAAGCGCTTTGGGGTCCTATGGACTAGAAAAGCGCTATACAAATGCAGGCCGTCTACCATTTAAAAATGTTATTGTTTGGCTTTTTCCAGTGTTTTATTTGTTCCTGAGTAAATCGGTTTGTCTGAGATTAAAGTTTTTACACAGCTGAATCAAGCAGACAACTGATTATCAGAAGTGTGAGATGCTCGAGAATATACTCCGGTGTCCTGTTATATTTTAGATAGCAAGGAGTTTATTAAACTTCACGGAAACAATCTGCAAATTTCATTAAAATGTAATAAACTATCATCTTGTCTTTATTTTTAGTTAGCACATACCTTAAACACTTAAAGCTGTAAGCTAATGATAGTTATATAAGAGCAGATGCTGCTGGTGCAATAAGCTGTACGTTTTACGTCCAATGGATGCATGATCTGATTAGTCGACTAATCGCAAAAATAATCGGTGACTAGTCGATAGGGCTGCTCGATTATGGCAAAAATGATAATCACGATTATTTTCACTGAAATTGAGATCTCGATTATTTGACGATATTTATTTAACCCTTTAAGACCTACTATAGAACCAAGTCCGCCAGAGCTTATATTATTTTTTTACATGTTGTAGTGCCATTTGTGGGAGCATTTCAAGTTGCTATACATCAATACAACTGTTATAACCCATATTTTAATGATATGTATGCATTAAGTCCACAGTAACTACATTAATTGCAAAAAAGTGCAATAAACTACAAAAAAATTGAAAATCGTTTGTTTTGTTTTTTTACATACATTTCTAGTTAGAGAAATTTAAGAGGTTTATCCCTCAAAACTTTAAATACAAAAAAGTTGCAAAAAATAGTTTACAACAACAGGAAATTTATTTTGAGTGTCTTCATAGTTTTTTTTGGAGATATAGCAATTTTTATATACTGCAGGAAAAACAATCCTATGATGCAAATTTGCAAAGAAAACAGCAGGTGCATCAAAATAAACTTTTCCAGCAGTGCAATTGAAGTTCTAAGCATCCCAGAAACTATTCAGAAAAGTATAGAGTCAAACATGACTTATAAAAACACCAGTATAGGCTTTTAAGGCCTACAAGTAAAAAAACTACATTTTCCGCGAAAATGACGTCACTTCCGGTTTCGGGCAGGAAATGGCGGACATGCGATAGTTCGCGCTGACGTCTTTTTCAATGTGGGAAGTGTTACGAACAGCTGATAGGATCGGCAAAGTGTGTTTCTGGAATATTATGTTTTTGTTCCTGCAAGCGCTTTTTATAAAATTTTTGCAAAGCTATATGTGGAAGGAAACCGTGACCGAGGACAAGCTGATGGCATAAGATGTAAGTACAACAACTCCGGTTTCATATGCAAAAAAATTATTGCGCTAGCTTGCGCGGTTCCGGTTCTACAGGGATTTAAAAATAGTTACGCAAAACGGAGCGTGCTGCTCTGACCGGCTTTAAAGGGTTAACAATAACAATGTATTGAATAATGACTTTAAAAAAATAATATAAAATAGTGTGCAAATACTTTGCAAATACAGTGCAAATGTTTGCAATATAAGAAATAAATGAAAAATTTAAACATCTATGTTTAGTTAACTTTGCAGTGTTGCTCTGTGGTCCAGCTACACTGCAGCAAAGTTTACACACTGTGTCTACTTGATCCACGTCTAACTCCGCGAACCCATACTGTTTCCACACCACTGAAGTGTTGGTGTTTTTTTTTTTTGTTGTTTTTTTTTTTTTTGTTGTTTTTTTTTTTTAATATATACCTCTCTTTTCAACCAACAGCAGTCACTCTCTCCTCTCCAAATAACTTCTGCTTAGCTTTCCGAGCTTTGCTTGGGTTCTCTTAATTGTTGTGACGCGTGTTCGAAATGCAGAGAGGTGCGCTTGATTTGCTCAAGCAGCGCGAGAGTAAAGCACGAGGGAGGTGCAAATAATCGGCGCAGTCATTTTTAATGATCGTTGAAAGCCCAGATCGTAATCGTGATTAAAATTCGATTAATTCAGCAGCCCTACTAGTCGACTATCAAAATAATCGTTTGTGGCAGCCCTAAAAATACGTATTTGACTTTTTTATTTGGCACACTGCAGTTTAATGTAGCAAAGCACCTCTTTTTTTTTTTACTTAAGTGGATATTATACATGGTTATGCTCAGGATATCTCAGCCCATTTCTACTGGAAATGCATTTTGGTTAAACTTGGAATTTGCGTTTGCACTGTTAAATGTTTATATAGCTTTAATGCACATTAAAAAAAAAACAAAAAAACCCAGCTGCTTGTTTAAGTAAAATAAATGGATGAGCTTTTTTTTTTTTTTGCGTTAGTAAAGTTGTGGAGTTGTATTTTGTCTCGCAGAAATTATATCGTTATCGCAAATTTTCAAATATATATCATGATATACATTTTTGGCCATATCGCCCTGCCCTACCGTCCACGATCATCTAGTCCACTAGTCGCGCACATCACTAGCAGACATCATCCAAAGAAAGCTTTTGGAATATTCATCAGGAAGCCTGATAAACCTGAAGATGACTGAGAGAAATAGTTGGAAGCTTGCTTAAGAGAGTTCAGGCTGTTTTCAAAGGTAATATAGATACCTGGTTGTATCAGTATGACTGTTCAAGCTTGTTCAAATGGTCCAAACTGTTTCCTAGCAAAACATAAAGTGACATGTGGGAAAAGGCTTTTGCACAGTTGTGTTAAAGCACAATAATCAACAGTTGCTCAATTTCCTGACTTAAATGCAACTCTAACCCAGCCCTTCCACATAATATTTAAAATATCCTCCTCTGGTCTGGTGTCAGTTTTTTTACATGTTAGATTTCCTCATTGTTTCTTCATAGCAGCATTGTCACAGGCAGCAGAGCCTGCTACTTTCCTTCCTCTTTCTGTGGACCAACGGTCTTCTTATTTCATAGTTTAGTATTTTTAGATGTGGGAAATCTGAGATTACCATAACACGAAACATGTTTTAATAGAGCAGATGTCTTCTCTGCATCCTTCAGTGCACAACTCTTTGCTCTTTTTATTGTCTCAGGTAAAGCATGGCAATGACCAGCCAGACCTCGTACCCCTCCATGAGTAACCACACCAAAGAGAGGGTCACCATGGCCAAAGTCACCCTGGAGAACTTCTATAGTAACCTCATCGCTCAGCATGAGGAGAGAGAGATGAGGTAACGCTCACAAGCTTTAGTGCTTCTTACATGAACAAAGGCTAACGTTGCCATTTTAGCTTTAGTTATGAGCTACAAAAAAAAACAGTGGGCCGATTAATTTGTCCTCCAAATAAAACAACTAACCACTGAATTCGCAGCACAACTGAACCTGATGGCTAATGCATGGACAACCCACTTTGTTTGTTTTGGTTCATCAGGATGTGGCTCCTGTCAGTATTACACTGAGGAGGGGTCACTTCCTGTTGTGACATTCACAGTACAGTATAGTCATAACCTCGTCCTGACTGGTTTATTGCATTTTTAGTACAGAACGTTTTTGCTATATGAAAATGATAGGGTAGTAAAAGTGCACTAAAGCTTTGTTCTGTGTTTGTCATGTGTTTAATAAAGAAACATAATAACTTATGCCTGTAACCAGTAATAAGCTGTGCTGTGGTTTCAGGCAGCAGAAGCTGGAGAAAGTTATGGATCAGGAGGGCTTGGCTGATGAAGAGGTGAGTAAGGTGTTTACTGACCCGTGTGTTCTGGAGACTTATGTCACAGTGTGTGTAATCTCCATGTTGGTGTAGGTAAGGTAGAGCAGGTCAGCTACTGATTGGAAGGTTGGTGGTTCGATCCCTGGCCCTACCAGGGATTGCCAAATATCCTTGGGCAAGATACTAACCATCTGAGTATGAATGTTAGCTACACAGCACTAAAGTATAGAAGAAAGTGCTTGTATGAATGAGTGTTATTGGCATGAGGCATGTTGTATAGAGCGCTTTGAGTACTCCGGGAGAGTAGACAAACACTATATAAGAATCAGTGCACTCAAATGTTATACTCAAAGAGTGTAACGGGAACAACCAATCAGCTGTTGTATCTCCAGCTGTCTGTGTCTGCTCCAGAGTATAATAAAGTCTCACAGTGGACATGAAACGCTTCATGTACAAAGGCTAATTTACAGCATGGAGCCCTGCTCTCAAACAGCCTCTGTAGCTGCATTTAAAAAAGAAATCGGAACTTAAAGTTTTAAAAATGAGTCTGGTTGCTTTTGGTCAGTAGACTTCCATTTGTTTATGTTAACTAACTGGTAACAGAACCAATAACACAGGGGGATTTCAACTATAAACCAGTCTAAGGGATCACCTTTGTGCTACCTCGGGCTGCAACAATGAGCTTTATGTTTAAAAAATCATGGCTATACCGTCCACTTTCACTGGCAGTCCCTTAAACAGTAAACAGTTCTTCATTCTTTTAGCTAGAAGCACTGAAAATCCACCAGACAGTAATCTAAGCTGGGCTGTTGGAAGTCATTTTTCTTTCTTACATCTTAATTTGCTTAACAGTAAATTTTAATTATTGCTTTAAAATAAGACACCTCTGAAGTGTGAATTAAACAGTATAGTGTATTTAAAGTGCTGTGTCCTCTGCAGAAACGTATCCGGCGCTCTGAGCATGCAAGGAAGGAGACCGAATTTCTGCGTTTGAAACGTACTCGACTGGGTCTGGAGGACTTTGAATCCCTGAAGGTGATTGGCCGAGGAGCTTTCGGAGAGGTAAAAAGCATTTGATGCTGTTGTTTTGAAACATGGAAAAAAACGGAAACAATTCTAACTCTGCTCATCACTGTGTAGAAATGCACCAATTACAATTTTGACGTACACGTTGAAGTTTGCTAATGCAATAACTCTAAAATGAGGTGACGAAGTTTCAAATTGATAGTGTAGGTGTATCTGCTGAAAATTTCAGATGAGTTTAAATGTCGGTGACCTAAACCTCAGGATGAAGGTTAGACGTCAAGTCTTGTAAAAATCTTGTGAATGCAATAGCTAGGCAAAAAGCCCACATGGGATTTTGAAACTGATACTGTAGCTGGTCTATGCTAGGAGACTGAGGGGAGCTCATTCTGATTTAAACTGTTGCTTTAAAGGTTCAGTGAACATAGAACTTTACTCCAACGGAACATGAGATAAGAAATACTTTATTTTTGTCCACATTTGAGATATTTTTTGTTACAGCATTTAAAAAAACCAAATGTAACAAGTAACCACGTCTTGACTGTTACATGTTGCTGATTCCTCATGTTACTAGCTCCAGTGCTGGTCCCTCAGCATATCACTGCAGAGTGTAGTGCACTCGCTTCACCTGGTTGATTAGAAAAAAAATTCCATCATTTAAAGAATCTCTGCTTCATTAGTAGATCTGTCCTCTATGGAAGCCCATTTCCGCCACTAAAAAAAAAAAGTATCCATAACTCGAATTTTCACATTATTTTCTCGAAATTTTGACTTATTAACTCGAAATTTTCAGAAAAGTAACTCAAAATTTCGAGTTAGCTCTGCCAATCAGTAATCTACGTTAATGATGTCATTTCCTTGTTACCCGGAAGTTAAAGCCCTCAAGTACTGCTACAGCTAAGCTACCAGTATTACAGCCAGTCATGAATGCACATGAATGAATTGCTGAGTATTTTCAGCCAGGCTTCACAAATGATGAAATCCTTGTGTTATTAGCTGAATCACATGGCGTTAAAATCAGCAAACGTACTCTCGAAAACTCTGTTGCGGTCCGGTTTTGAGTGCGCATTACTCTGCGCCATATGCTTCTGGGTAACAAGAAAATGACTTCGTTCACGCAGATTGGCAGAGCTAACTCGAAATTTCGAGTTAATAAGTGAAATTTTTGAGAAAATAACTCAAAATTTGGAGTTAAGGATACATTTTTTTTAGTGGCAAAAACGGGTTTCCATAGTCCTCTCCATCCATCCTGCAGTCAATCAGTGAAAGAAGAAGAGAGGCTAACTTCTGGGCAGGAGAAGCTCCCACACCCATCATCAGCTTTTTGATGAGCACTCTTGATTTCTACTTGCAGGTACGCTTGGTGCAGAAGAAAGACACCGGTCATGTTTATGCTATGAAGATCCTCCGCAAAGCTGATATGCTTGAGAAAGAACAGGTGAGCTACAGGATACACACCCTGGAGTGCTGCCCTTTGACATCTGTGTGTAACCCCTTCTTCCTGTCCATGTACAGGTTGGTCACATCCGTGCTGAACGAGACATTCTGGTCGAGGCCGACAGTCTGTGGGTGGTCAAAATGTTCTACAGTTTCCAGGATAAGCTGAACCTTTACCTCATCATGGAGTTTCTACCTGGAGGTACGAACGGGGCGCTGCTCAGCATGAAAAACTGCTGTGACACAAGAATGCTGTTGTCATCTTCAATAGTACTGTAGCTGCACCCCTCTATAAGTCTGGCAGTCAGTTATGATTTCATCACTCACAGTCAAAAACAGTTTAGGGGAAAAAACCAGTCATCCTGTTGCTTCACATTAACAACACTCTCATGTCTCTGTGTTTTGTTTGTTTTTGTTTTTTCGATGCATTGCACAGACGTTGATGCTAATTAGTAAAATAAACCCGCTTAAATGTGCTGGAAACCGTATTCATCCGTCCTGTAGAATGACTGTTCTCTGCTGCTGTGGTGCAGGCGACATGATGACCCTGCTGATGAAGAAGGACACTCTGTCAGAAGAGGCTACGCAGTTCTACATAGCAGAGACGGTGCTGGCCATTGACTCCATCCACCAGTTGGGCTTCATCCACAGAGACATCAAACCAGACAACCTGCTGCTGGACTCCAGGGTGCGTCCGAGCTCTCGTTTTTACTACACTCACGTTTTCTGTGGAAACACCATTTTTTTTAAAATGATTGGAACATGTGACCATAGCTAGACTGAGTTTCTGTTTGGTCTGTTTATCTATGAGGAACTTTGACCTTTGGTCACAGTGGGGCACACGTCTGGTTTTGTGACCCTGGTATGACGTCATACTTTGCTGCTATGTGTAATGTTGTGCTCTTGGTTTCAGGGTCACGTGAAGCTGTCTGACTTTGGGCTGTGCACAGGCTTAAAGAGGGCTCATCGGACTGAGTTCTACAAGAACCTGAACCACAGCCTGCCCAATGACCTCAGTAAGCAAAGTCAGCAAAGTTCATTTAATTCAAATATGGCTTGCATGCAGCCCCCGTCACTTGCTTGCATTTAACTTGTTTCCTTAAAAACAGTGCTCACAGCTCAGAAGTTTGACCACGGTCAGTGTGAGCAGACTTCCTCCTCTGCTCAGTTTTCCATAAATCAGATGACAGGAAATGTGCAGGATTGCTAGGAATACTGCTATAAGTTGGATGTTTCTACACAGTGTCTGAGTGTTTGCAGTCACATTTGACATGGTGACTATAATATCTGGGCCTACAGTACTGTACAAAAGACTTTTATTAAAATGTGCACACAACAGAATTTGTACAGTTCTAGTAAGGATGAAAGTCAGGCTGCAGCGATTGATTATTTTAGTAATTGAGTGATCTATCGATTATTCCATCGATGAATCGTATAAGAAATAGCTTTGCAATAATAAATATTTAATATACAAAGAGAATAAACACGGGTCTTTTAAAATGAACTGCTCAGTGGTTTCCATTTTAGAAACTGTAACATTAACTCAACCCTTAGGCTGTTTTTATATAAAATATTACATTAAAATTTTAAAAGAAAACACTTCCTTAAGTGCCAAAATCTATAAATGCTCTAAAGTTCTCTCTGACAGTGTTTTATCTCGTGGATGAGGTATCTGGTGTGCACATGTTCAGTGTTTGTGTGTGGGTTTGTGTGCAGCCAATGACTGTAAGCCTTACACGGAGCGTGTGCTGGCTGCAGTGAAGGAAGGCCAGTTTGCTGTGCTGCTGAAACAGATGTTATGATGCAGATGTTCATTCATTCTGATAACAACCTAAAATTGCTTGGCTCAGTGTCTTAGTTTTACTGGCTTGTGAAAAGGTGTTTATTTATTTTTAAATATTAATGTTTAATTCATTTCAATTAACACTTTTAATCTGAAAAGTGTTACAAAGGCTTAATATGGTCCAGTACACCCAATGCCCCCCTTTAGACTCCCCCCGTTTGCTGCAGGCATCAAATAGGACAGCTGCTGTACAAACAGGCTAAGTTAGCAGTTCATCTGCAGGTTTAAATGAAATCTCTGGAGGCTTACTGCAGATTTCTGTGTGAAACAAACAGCAGCTGCTGAGTTTGCTTTTCTTCATGTTGGAGTTTGTTGATCAGCTGCTTTGATGAAGGACACTTACTTTTTCAAAGTAAAGGTTTTAATGGTGATCGCAGGAGCAGCGCTGCTGTTTTGGACGACAAACACTTTCTTTCACTCACTGTCTGTAAGGACTCCACCTCTTTGTGTTTGTGTGTGTGTGTGATCAAACTATGACAGCATCATATTCATCAGTGTTTTTGTTTAAAACTAGCGGCTGTGTGGGCTCGTTATACGTTTTATTCACGCGCTGCTTCTAAATACGTTTCTATTGCAGGTTTGTTTTTAGCTCCAAATGTGTTGAATTATTCCAAATACTTGATGAATCGCTGCAGCCTTACTTGAAAGTCGGACACTTTTATTCCTCAGCACAGGTGCGCGCGCTCTCTCTCGCTCTCTCTCTCTCGCTCTTTAATTATTTCTGTAAGGAGTCTTCAGGAGTACTTCTCCTGAACACTCTAAAGCTCTTATTTGGATGATGGCTGCCCATTTGTATCATCCTTTCAGCGTGATCCCACTCTGCCTCCATAATGCTGGGATCTGGGCAGGCCAGTCTGAGTGTATTCCATTGTGTGTTTGTCTATCCAAGAATGGTTTCACTGCTTTGGCAGTGTGGGTGAAATCATTGTCATGCTGGACAAATTAAGCCACTGGCAATCAGATACTTTCCAGATGGTGTACCAGATGGTACATTTCTGTGTATTGAAGCATTGGCTGAAGTGCAGCCTCAAAACATGAGCTGTTGTGACTGGTTTCAGTCTGGTTCTTGTATAGTTTGGCACACCTCAGCCTTTTCACAGTTGTGTTCACACAGTGATCATAGACATCATGCTGAAACAGCAGGCCTGACCGTGAGGAAGACTTGCACTCACCTTCAGTGGCACAAATGTTATGTATTCAATGACTGATGAGAGCCTCGCTGTTTGTATGCACAGTGATGGAGTCGTAGCTTTTAATATGGAGTTGTCTTGCCTACACAGCATCCCAGAACATGAACTCTAAGAGGAAAGCAGAGACCTGGAAGAGGAACAGGAGGCAGCTGGTAGGTTTGAACACACATGTGATTAGAAAGTGTAGAAAATGTCTGCTATTTGGTATTGTGCTCGATTGGATTTGGTAACACCACAAAAACAATGTTAATGGAAATATTTTTGTCATTGGGATAGTTGTTAGAAATCGTACATGGCTCCACAGTCAGGGGCTCACGATAAACCCCAGAGCCAAATGTTACTAGTTGTGAATAAAAAGAGAAACCCACGGGAGTATTTGATTGTACAATTTGAAATGTAAAAAAGAAATGCTCAGTGCGTGGAGCGGGCGACCACATGCCATAAGGCTGAGAGCGGACGGCCGGGTTCGAGTCCACCCCGCATGTCTTCCCCTCACTCCTCTGCCCCCGCTGTAATGAAATGCTCATTATTTAAACTATTAATTCATTGAATCTACAGAAAAAGTGTAATAATGTGCTCTTCTTGAAACTTATGACGACAGCAGCATTTGAAGGATGAAAGCACAGTGTTATGCTTTTCACGGTCAATAAAGTCCTGCATGTTACCGACATATAAAAGCTCATATTCATTTATTATAATAATGTAAATGTATGGCACAAAGGAAGCATGACATTGTGTGGCTAGAATTACAATCTCACTTCCTTTTGTTTTGATTAGATCAGCCCTGAGTTAAATCTTGATCTTACCCGGTGCAGACAAAGCAATGTCTTTGTGAAGCCTGTCTGTGGGAAGTGTAACATTTAAACAAAGGTGGTAGCTTTTCCCATCCTTTCATCCTATGTATTGACCCCCTTCCTTTATCCATCAGGCATTCTCCACAGTGGGAACACCGGACTACATTGCTCCAGAGGTCTTCATGCAAAATGGATACAACAAACTGTGTGACTGGTGGAGCCTGGGTGTGATCATGTATGAGATGCTGATAGGTAATTTTTCAGGAAATGAATCTTATTCACCTTTTGAGGTTATTATAAGATGGACTTTTATAATATCTGATTCCTGTTTTTTGGTCTGTGCAGGTTATCCTCCATTTTGCTCAGAGACGCCACAGGAGACGTACAGAAAAGTGATGAACTGGAGAGAAACACTCGTCTTTCCTCCAGAGGTGCCTATATCGGAGAAGGCCAAAGACCTCATTCTCAGGCAAGTGCACCTCTGCTTTCCTTCATCTCCCATCCTGTCATAGTAGTTCATGCTGTTGTCACTCTTGTTTTGTATGCGGACCATGGAGGTTTCAAAAATGTCAACTTTCTAATGGCTTCTAACACCTGAGGTGTTTGTATTGCATTGTACTAACTGATCGTGAGTTTACAGGTTCTGCTGTGAGGAGGAGCACAGGATTGGGGCTTCGGGCGTGGAGGAGATCAAGTCCAATCCTTTCTTTGAGGGCGTAGACTACGACCATATCAGGTGGGCATACTTGCCACGCACGTTAAAGATGGTTGTGCTGACATGTTGAATTCTCAAATGTCTTCATTTTAAATTGTAATAATCAACTTAACATAAACAGAAGAACCCAGAATCTCTGAGAGTTGTGAATGTGCCTACAGGTCAACAGGAAGGCATTTAAAAATGAGTTTCATTAGATGATCTTTGTCTGGCTGGAGTCCTGTGCACCCTCAGATGTCCTTGAGGATGAAGACCCTGGTCCACTGTTTTGTGACCAGGACAAAAAAACCCCACATTATTTATCCCGTATCTAAGGTTTGACTAACAGGCAAACCTTGGCGTACACCTTCCCTGACAGGCAGGCGCTCGAGTCCCCTTTCTTAAACATAGGAACCACTACCCCAGTCTGTCAGTCCGGAGGCACCTCCCCAGATCTCCACGTGACATTTCAGAGGCATGTCAGCCAAGGATTAGGGTCACCCTCCCCTCATCCCGAGACGCTGTTTCCTCTATAGAAAGCGTGTCAGTGGGATTACAGACATACTTTCGGCCTCTGCAACACGTTCCCAGTGATCCCTCACTATACACTTGGGTGCACCCTGTCAGTCTCTCTCTTTACGTGAAGGTTCAGAACATACAGCCACAGATCCGATGAAAGAATTCCAAAATCAATCATCGACCTGTGCCCTAGGGTGTTGTGGTGCCATGTGCACTTATGGACATCCTTATATTTGACTGCAGATTGAAATAGAGTCAAGGCCCTCTCTACAAGTCTGGTTCCAGAGCCCAAGCCATGCGTTGAGGTTAGCGCAACTGAGCCGACATCTCTCAAACTCACACGCTAGCTCAGGCTCCTTCCACGCAGGAAGGTTGACGTTCCACTTCCCGATAGCCAGTCTCTGTATCTAGGGATCGGGCCTCTGCCACCGACACACACACTTCATTTGATGCTACTGCGCCACCTGTAGGTGCTGGGCCTAAAAGAGGGTAGCCCAAGCTGGGCACAGCCACCAAACGCTCTCTCTCCAGTTTCTTCCCCAGGCCTGGCTCCATAGGGCGGGGCCCCCGTAACTCTATCCCGGACAGGGTACACTGGTGCCTTGGTCATCTTTTATCAGTAGGGGTCAATTGAATCGCTCTTCATCGTTTGCCTTGGGAGATCCTACCAGAGGTCAGCATGGCCCTTGGGATCACTGGGACACACAAAACCCTCCAACAAAGTAATGCGGCGATTTGTGGAGAGGACCGTTAGCCATTCAGGCAATTTGCTGATTCTGTTTTCAAATGCAAACTTTGACTTTCGTTTTGTAACTTTACTGATGTTTCCAGGGAGAGGCCTGCTGCCATTCCCATAAATATCAGAAGCATTGACGACACCTCAAACTTTGACGAATTCCCTGATTCAGATATCCTCACACCTACAGGTACATACAGTGTAGCTCCAAATATTTCATGCTTTGTTGTGAAATCTCAGATTATTAAAATGCCTTACTACTTGTTGTGTTACTCCAGCCACTCAGGTGTCCAATCAGGCTGAAGCTGATCTGAAGAACAAGGACTGGGTCTTCATAAACTACACCTACAAACGCTTCGAAGGCCTGACGGCTCGAGGTGCCATCCCGTCCTACATGAAGTCGGGGAAAAGATGAACACCACCACACGGGTGCTTGTCCAACTCCTCCATGAATCCTGAAGGAGCTGTCTCGAGTCCTGAAAGAACTGTCTGTGTGGTGTCACACAGCTCTTTGCAAATAAAAAGGGGACTACTTTTCCTCTGTTGCTTTCCACAGGAATGTTTCGTTTCACTAGTAGGAACTGCTGCAATCATTCTGCAGCTGTTCGCTCTAATGCTTCCGAGGGTACTTCTCTACTTCCTGCTCACAATGACACTGAACTGGGAATAATATGTCCACTTGTATTTTCCACCAGTGGCTGCAGATGGTTTTCTTCACTCCTGATAGCACCATTGATGTTCCCTGTGTGTAAAATGAGCACACTGTTGTTGGACTTACCAAGTGCTCTTGTCTTTCCAAACCAGCACATCCCCCTCCTTGAAATTATTTTTTTAAACATGTCAACTTGAAGATGGCATCAAATCGTCACGTGACATGAAATAGATGCTTTTCAGGGATTCCCTTCTTATGTTTCCTTTTTCTGGGCTTGTCTAAAGTGCTGCTGGCTTCTTAAGATCAAACCAAAGACTGAACTGAATGTTTGATCTCTCCATTTCTTCACTTCCACTAACTCTGTTGTGCTTGTTTAGGTTAAAGCGTGCATATTTGAGAATTATGAATTTTATGGAACAAACACACACAGATCATGTGACATTTGACCCCATCATGTCTGCCTTCTGCACCTTAAATGATGTGGATGTCGCTGTAGTATAATCAAGCCTCCAGCTCCTTATATTGCGTGCTTAAAATAATAGTTTGGGTTTGACAGGGCAGGGGAAGGAAACGCCCACTAATGGCTGTGCTCATTATTTAATGTGCAACTAATCATTTTGAATTGGTGACTTGTTTTCAGAGTTATAGAGACAAATGTTACAAATGTTCAGGAGAGCCAACCAGCAAGCATCTTTAGTTAAAGGGGAATATATTTTAATTAAAATGGATTATAAGATTAAATTGAAGAATGAATAATTGTTTGAGTGATTGACTAACAGTCTTATGATGGATGTGCGACTGACTAGTTGTTACCAGACACTAGTCGGTTAACAATTTCAGAAACTTTTGTATTATGCATAAAAGTGAGGGTTTTAAGACATGATTATTGGTCCATTAATATGTAGCTTTAAATGGTGTTAACACTTTGACCCCAGGATTGTGCTCCAGCTCTGTTAATGGTTCTTTGCCACCTCTGCGCTTATCACTGCTTTCAAAGCACTTTGGACTGGTTTGATTTTCCTTCAAACTGGTTTGCTGCAGCTTGAAATCTATTTGATGTGATAAAGAGGTGGTGAAATGGCTTGAACATGAGTTTGTCTCCACTAAAGAGCAGACAGGACCAGTGGGGAGTCGGTCCATCCACATTGAGGGCTAAATGATTCTTCAGTGAACACAATATCCAGAATGCTGTCATTTAAAGTGAATGTAAATGAACTTTTTTGGAATTGTGGGAAAGTGCTTTTTGCCACAGTAGTTTCAAAATGCTGTTTGTTTGAATGAGGTGTAGACCCCCCCCCCCCACCCCCCCCCACCCCTCCTCTTTTTAACTTCAGCGAATCCAAACTCTTAGCAATGTTGTTAAATTGTATTTTGATCAGATTAATGCTGTGTTTTTAAATGATCAGATGTAATATTTCCAAGATGAAACTCTGCTCGTATAGTTGAAGCTGTATCCAAAGATATCACGGATGTTAGACTGGTTTGTGAAAACTAAATGTTTGGTTTGTTTCTCATGTTTCTGCTGGAATGGTCTTCTGCGAGTCTTAAATCAAAGATTTGACTTTTCTATGTAATATAGTATATACAGGTAGTGGGTAGATAAATCTCAGTACATTTTAGGATACAGTGCTCCTTTTATTTGAATGGCTGGGTTCCATTTTTTTAACAGTCTGTTATGATGCTCCAGCTCTGCATGCTTTAACCAAACCGTAGATGTGGTGGCTTAAAGAAACTGATGTAGAATGACTTGTTTTATTGGGTGTGTGCGCGCGCGTGCATGGTTGTTTTTTTTTTTTTTTTTTTTTTTTTTTTTTAAACCAGCAATGTTTGCAGATGCTGTGCTCGTCATTATGCTCTGCATGTCGTCTGAGTCAGATAAGGGCTTTGGAGAAGGTGGATGTACAATATTTATATACCACTGTTTGCTGTTGTACGTTTTCTAATATTTGACAATTAATTATTCTGCACTTCCTGTATTGCTTCTGAACTCTGTAGCATTATATTTTTATTTATTTATCTACTTTTAACCAAGAAGTGAACCTCTTGGTAATTAAAAAAAGTATTTTGCAAGAGTATTATGGGCCCAGGTTTGCAGTATTAATACTGCATATTCTTTGAGAAGTCTTGCACAACTAGAATCGAAGCAAAGACCACAGACACGAAGCTCCATCATAGACTGGTCGTTTTTTTTTCAGCCATAGAGTACGTAGAGCCCTTCACTGGTTCCGTGTCTCGTCATATTTGCAGCCTTATTCCAAAATATGAGCAGGATACGGCTCATCTGACACCTGTCACTGGATCAGCTGCTACGTTTTATCCGAGGAGCGTGCTACTACAGAAATGCAAAAACTAACAGAAACAGAGGCTGCAACACAAATCATGTACATGTTTGTATTCATATTTTAATACTTAATGTTTATTGGTAACATATTTTCAATTTTCTTTTAATAATGCAAAAAAAGAAAAGAAAAAAGAACAAGTTGTGTTTTCTGCAGTTGAGTTGATTACAGTGGAGGCTCTGTGGTTCTAGCTGTAGTTCCTCAGGTACACCAGTCTGTGAGGCTGGAACTTGTCCCGACACAGGGGGCACTCTGCCTGTAAAACACATGAGGTCAGGTGAAGACTGCTCTACCATCTATTAATGCTTCAACATTAAGTATCATCAGTCTATCTTTAATCATGGCCATGTACTGCACTTACTGGTAATTAAACATAGATTTAAGATGTCAGTTGACCAGCCTAGCTTAGCCAGTTATGGACCGATCTCAGGCCTTTAGTTTCTATTTCAAAGAGACTCCTGTGCTGTGAAACAGCAGACTGAAAGGTTTACAGAAAGCACACATTTTCATTACATAGCAAAGACAAAGGCCTTGATGTCAGTTGATGTCTAAACTCAGATGATGTTAAGAATCTTAGAAACCTTTTGTCTAACTACACTCTGGATGGCTTTAACGACCACGATGTGTAAATATGTAAGACTGCACAATATAGAGTGATGCTGAAAAAAACGAGTTCATATAATGATTACTTCTGGCTGGACTGATAACAATGAACTACGAGTTATTATCAGGTTGTCTCAGAGGGCAGGTAAAAAATGCTGCAGTGAGTAGAGACAGCGTGTTTCTCCTATACTGGCTCCTCTTCATTGGCTCCCTGTTAAATCTTAACATCTGCTCCCACACAAGGTCTTGAATAATCATGCCCCACGGTACCAGATCACCACAGTGCCTCTTTTTATATACACCCACAAACCGCAAGCAAGCCTGCATTAGTAGCTGAAGGTGTGAAGCCGACGGTGCCACAGGAAGGCAGCCCAACAGGAAGGAAGCATGGTGGAGCAGTTGGTGTCTGTCTTTGCCTACTTTCAGTTTATAGGACTATCCGTTGGATGACGTGCCCAAAAAAAGGAATTGAAAAATAAAATGTATCTTTTTTTCCCCCATTTCTTGTTTCTATCTTTTAATTAGATAGAAAAGTAAGACTTGCACTTAGGCACCTCCAGAGGACAGAAAGGACTCACGTCAGAAAGAAAACTGCATTCTTTCTGCTGTAAAACTTGGTCACTTGCTTTTTATTTTAGTTGTCAAGTATTGTAAGACTTTGTTGAGATTTTCTTTTAATATAATCTCTGATGAGCATCATGAAGAACATTCAGGGAGGGGCAGCCGTCTGTGAAAGCCAGCTGTGGGAGGAGCATAGCACGACCACACACCACAAATCAGCAGAATTCCTGTTATAGGAACAACATCTGCAGAGACCGTCCAGGGTACACCGGGATGCTGACCCTCAAAAACTACCTGTACTCCTGTTCCAGGATTCCCCTGTGTTCATTGGTTAAACAAGCTAGCTTGTAGATTTAATCAGCTGTTAAGTGTCTTACTGGTGTAAATGTAAGCAACGCTGCCCACCACGACTGAACTGGCATCACTGTGGGCAGACTGGAAAATGTCTACATTCAAAGTTTCAAAATTTTCGATCAGTTATTTCTGCCCATTTTAATGTTCAAGTTATTAAAAATGTGCGCTTACAGTGCGTTTCATTTATTATCAAACATGTCAGAAGCCAGTAAAAGGACATTGGCTTGGCTACAAATACCATTAGTGTCAGTAATCTAGTAAGCATTTTGGTTCTTTCTTACTTTATTTTGACAAGACGGCAACAGGAACTTAATGACAGCTGACACTGCTGTTTGTCCAATAACACTGAAGATGGTGCACACTGACCTTGGTGTTGCACCACTCTGTGATGCACTCCCAGCAAAACAGGTGTCCACAGGGGGTGGAGGTGGAGTGTCTCCTCTCCTCCAGGCAGAGGATGCAGAGGGCAGCTCTGGGGCCGGAGCTCTGTCTGTGCTGTGGACTACACAGACATACTTCAATTAAATGTTTGTTTTTTGTTTTTTTTATAAAGACATGAATTTCATCAGGTTTTATTTCTAGAATGCGTTTTTTGTAGATTAAATCTTGCTGGAACAGGAACGATGCCCCGACATGAGCACATGGTGCTGGGATTTAAGCTGTCACACCAGTGTGTACCTGAGCTTCCTGTGGAGACTCCACTCCTGCCTGGCTCTCTGTCTCTGTCTGAAGTTGTTGAGTTGCAGACACACAGTGATGAGCAGCTGGAGGAGGGACATGACTCCCAGTAACCTGTAACTGCTCCCGACGGTGCTGTCGTTACTGTTCAGCCCTACCACACGCATCTAAAACACACACACACATTCATGAAGATACGAGCTGTAGGATGAAATGTCACTTTCATTGGACTCCAAGTAAAATCAGGGTCACAATTCTGCGAAGAAGAGTAGCACAGAATTCATCCACAGTGATACCAAAGATGATCTGATGCGTCTAAGTATGACAAATATGCAAAAATCAACAAAACG